GAGAGAGAGAGAGAGAGAGAGAGAGAGAGAGAGAGAGAGAGAGAGAGGATCACTGAGCTAAAAGATGAGCCTTTTTAACCTACAGATTGCCTTGGCAACAGAGGTTCCAGACTACAACCAGATGACCATACCACTGAGACGGGCTCATACAGCTACAGCAGCCCAGATGCGGCATTTCTACCACAGCTATGAATTCCAACTCCCAGAGCATCCTTCTTCCATGTCACCTCCGCTTCTAGCTGCCTCCACCATGCAGTTCTCAACCCTAGGCCCTGGAGGACGTCATGTCTATTGCAACATTCCTATGGCACTGCTGAATGGTCAGGTGTGGGGGGGAACTGTGTTTTATAAAAATTATGTTGTCCATGAATTGTCTATTAAAAATTTGAAGTTTTGCATATTTACATGAGTTAACGTTAAATAAAAACAAAAGCCCTCTTTTTCCCCAGGGCTTCAAAGAAGTTCACTGGGGAACAAGAGGTCTATTTGAATATAATTGAATATAAAATATCTCCATTTTAATCAGCCTCAGATGTGTATTTATTCGAACAGATGGGACAACAACATTAATAAACAAGACATAAGGCACACAACAAACATGCAGTAGTATTTGGTACTAAGTTTTGTGTAGATTTTTTGCAAGTACCTGAAGTGTGACAGAGAATATTTCTGATCCCTGTTTTCTGTGCTTCCTAGATGCCACAGAGCAGTACACTTGGGAAGAAACCAGAGCTGCACTTGAAGAGCACCTTCGCACCCCTCACCAGCAGAGAACTAAACTCTGACATCTGGTAGACTGCCTGCTCAACTGGTATTTGTTTACAGGCAGCTTCTGTAAACTGGTTCCTCAGCAACTTTTTTTTTTTTTTTTTTTGGGGGGGTGTGGTTAGACTTTGGACACACTTGAGTTATATGGGTTTTCAGAGAAGACAACCAGTGGACTGCTTGTGGGCCACTTTGTGAACAAAGTACCTTTGACAGGGGGAATTAGGTTTGTCTCAAGTAGACTTAACCCAGACAAATGATATGAACAATTGCACTCAGCTTTGGGACTAGTTACTGATTACCAGTTGGGATAACGGGCACTGAAGGAGGATACAAGAGATATGTGTCTGCGGTCATAAAAAAGAAATAAAAACTAAAAACAAAACTTCAGAAATGTTACAATGAGTTTATAGATACAGTAGGTGCATGGAAGAAAGGACTAAATAAGGTCATGGAAATCTTAATAAGTATCTGCAGACTATGGCTGGGCAATATGAACCAAAATTAATATCTCAAAATTTTAAGATAAATCGTGATATATGATATACATCTTGATATTGTTTTCTTTCCATAAAATAATAACAAAAATATATTTCTGAGTCAAAGCTTTGTCACAGTTGTCACATAGGCACATTTATTAACAACAGCTGTAACTGTACAAAATAAATGTCTAAAAATAAACTATTTACATATATTAAATAGTTTATTTTTTAGACATTTATTTACATATTTTAAATAATTATCCTCTTCAGCTGGGGGCAGCTGCAGCTGAGAGGCTAGAGCGGTCATCGTCCAATGGGAAGGTTGGGGGTTCAATTTCACCAGCAGTCACATGCTGAAGTGTCTCTGGGCAAGACACTGAACCCCTCATAGCCTCTGATGTGTGTCCCATCAGTGTCTGAATGGGATCTAAAGCTCTGATTATTCTTTCTAGAGACCTAGTAGAGCATATAAATGGGTAAATGAGTGCACAGATTTGTGTTGTAAAGAGCTTTGAGTGTCTTGATAAGTTAGAAAGGCTTTATATAAGTACAGTCCATTCAGCTGTGCCACCTTCACGTTAGTAAGTGTGTGTGAAGCTGCAGGTCCGACAGACCTCAGCCTCATTCCCCGACATGAAACAAACCACGGTTCAGAACTCATTTAGTCGTGCTGTGCCGAGAGCTGTGCTAAGTGAATCAGAGCGAGGTGGCGACATTAATAAATCAGCAGTTTATCATATCGCTAAGACTCCGTCCTAGTCTCAGCTGTGGAACAAGACGGCTAAAGCGTTAGCCGCTATGGACCGTGTTTTTAGCGACATGATAAGCTGCTGCTTTATTAATGTTGCCTCCTCTCTGTTTCTCTCATAAGGCACACGGCTAGATGAGTTCTGGCCCATGGTTTGTTTCAGGGAAGGAGGCTGAGGTCTGTCGGACCTGCAGCTTCACACACGCTTCATACTCCACTCCGCTGTTTTAGATGGTGCAAAAGATTTGTAGTGCCGACCTTTCATCAGGACTGTTTTCAGCATTGTCTACAGAAATCATTTTTCTGCTGCTCATCTGAAAATTTAAATCCAAACCCTCTCCGAAAGAACAGTTATCGTTTTTCATTTAGTTCAGCAGCTAAGCTGCTCTATCGTCCATGTTTACTTGTGCTAAACGTCTCCTCTCCCGCCTGGAGAAGCAGGAAAGAGGAGTGTGGCTGAGGGGCTGGGTTTGTATTCAAGGGGGGGCACGTGGGAGAAAGAAGACAGCAGGAGGATTTCCAAGTATAAATCTATATTGTTTTATATCGATATAGTCTTAACTTATTTTGCAAAAAACAATTCTGTAGACATTTTTAAAATATTGAAATATTGCCCAGCTCTACTGCAGACACAAAACCAAAGCAGTCAAGCTGCATCTCAGAGTACAAGTATTTCAACAACAATTTGTTCTCGCACAAGCTGTTATGAAAAGCAGATGATCTATCAGTTATTGCATCTATATATTCATGTCAGTGCACTGACTAAAACAATTTTACATCATCTCAATATCAGTCATTCTTTTACTGACTGAAGGTCAGGATATCACTCTTATCTGTTGACTAGGTACAGTAGCTGATTCTTGAAGCAGATGAAACAAGTCATAAAGAAATGATTTTGGAATACTTCCAGTCAATCTCTTGAAATACTACTCTGAAGTTATTCATCTGGTAGAAGCTTATTTAGTTTACTTAAAAATGCCAGCAAGAGCAAGAAAGCAATAACTTTTTTAAACTGCTCAATCATTACTGGTAAAGCACAGTTAGCTGGTGATAAATGATAAAAACTCAAAAAGAGACAAAGGTTGGCTCCCATCCAAAAGCATTTTATTATTTAATTTCACGTGTTATATTTAATAGATTAATTCTCATGTAAGGTTTTTATACAGTTTAGTTTTTACTGTCTGTTACAATAACATATGTACAGCTTTCATTATTATGCATAGTCCTAAACATGATGATGATTTGCTTTCTAGAATTTCTGGTAGCACAGACAACATGTCTGCACGTTACAGAACAGTTGAAATTTTGATGTTTTATTATTATTATTATTATTGATGAATGAATGGGCTCACAACCCTGCAATAGACTCATGTTAGAAACCTGAGTATCACCAATCAGCTCAATACGAGGCTTCAATGCATAAACAGCTCTACTCCAAGCTAAATCAGACAATGTTTTTCTTTTTGAGCTTTAAGACAGCTTACCATAAAATTTAAGCAAAGTGTATCATGTTTTGAATTTACACAAAAGTACTGTCAATGTCTTTTTAAAACCAATGAATTCTAGATATTTGAGGTTGTTAGATAAAGTAATTAACTATATCAGTTGGTATATTCAATGGCAATATAAAGTACAGTAGTTGTTCTCGCCTGGTAGAAGCTTATTAGTTTATTTATAGATGCCAACAAGAGCTAGAAAGTAATTACCTAAACTGCTAAATCATTACTGGGATATCACAGCTGGAAAATGTTTAAATGACCTGTCGAGCCACCATGGATGACCAAGAGCAGCACTTGAACTAAGTTAAGACTGGCAAATATCTAGATCATCAGCTCGTATTGTAGTGCACAGTCTTGAGTCCAGAGCTGACCTGAAGAATGATCCTTGCCACCAAGTTCAGAGGATAACAGACTTGTCTTTTTTATTTGCATGACCATCGTTTAGATAAAAAATGCTAATGTAATAATAATAGATGAAAGAGAAAATGGCACAACCATTTGTTGTAGCCTCTTCTATTACGGAGCCTAATATACATGATGTACTGATGTTTGTTTTCTTTCTAACCATATTGTGATGATAAAAACTCAAAAAGGGGCAACGGTTGGCCTCCAAAAACACTTTTGTTATTTAATTCCTCATGTTATATTTAAGAGATTACGTCTCATGTAACGTTTTTATGCAGCTTTGTTTTTATTGTCTGTTACAAGAACATCTGTACAGCTTTCATTATTTATGCATAGTCCTAAACATGATGGTGATTTGTTCTTTAGAATGTCTAGTAGCACAAACTTGTCTACACGTTACAGAACTGTGGACATTTTGATATATATTCTTTTTTTTTTATTGATGAATGAACGGGCTTACAACCCTGCAATAGACTGATGTAAGAAACCTGAGCACCACCAATCAGCTAAATAAGGGGCCTCAAACAGCTCTACTCCAAGCTCTTTTTGAACTTCGTCTTTTTTAGAATGACCAATGAATTCTAGATATCTGAGGTTGTTTGATAAAATAATAAATTATATCAGTTGGTATATTCAATGGCAATATAAAGTACATTAGTAGCTTGTTTTTTTTTTGTGTTGGTTTGTTTTTTGTTGATGTTGTGGTTTTTTTTAGTTTATTTTTCTGATCGTTACTTTGACCATTCTTTTAAAATATTGGTTGCAATAATTTAAGCAAATAAACATTGCATTCATTATTTTATACATTTTGGATGCCTTTTCTTTTTTTACAAATTCAAACTGTTGTTTTTGTTGTTGTTGCTACATGCTGGTGAAGATTCTCCGTCATCCAGGTCATGGTAAATCCAAAAAAAGGTTAAAAACAAAACAACTGGACTTTATTTTGTAACTGAAAACATTTAACTTATCTTCACTTCTGTTTCTTTGCTACTTCCCCAGAATGTTGACTGTTGTATATTTGTTTCTCACAAAATAATATTTTTCAAGTTGATCTAAAACTATGTCTATATGTAGCATCTGCTTCTCCCTAGCTCTTCCTATTTTATTTCTAATCTTTACTATTGTCCTACTTGCTCCATTTCTGTACTCCCTTAAGTTACAGTGGCACTTGAAACTTTTTGAACCCTTTAGAATTTTCCATCTTTCTGCATAAGCAACACCTAAGGCTCCTCCCTGACAGACTTGCTAGCTACTGTAATTTACAATTCAAAGAGGTTTTTCTTGCAGGAGATTTCAACGTCATTTGGGAAAAGTCAACCCTCCCTCTGTGATAAATTCAAAGAATGTTGCCAGTCACTTAATCTGACCCAACTCATTGACACTCTCACCAGAACAAATAAGAACCGTCCTGAAAAATCTTCCATCTTAGACCTATTGCTAACAAATATGCCTCACAAATTTCCTGGTACAAGTGTATTCGCTGATGTTTTTAGTGATCATTGTGTGATAGCGGCTCTCAGAGACATTAAAATTCCACATTCTAAGCCCAGATTAATTCAAAAAAAGGGATTTGAAACATTTTTGTGAACAGTCATTCCTCTGGGATCGGTCTCACTTTGACTGGCATCATATTCTGTTAACTGACGACGTGAACTCGACTTGGAACTTTTTTCATAATAGTTTCATTTGTTTTGTGAAAAAACATGCTCCTTTTCGTCAGTTCAGAATAAAGGGATGAGACAGCCCCTGGTTTACTCCAGAGCTAGCTGACCTCCTGCACAGGAGAGATCATCTTAAGATTGTAGTGAGAAAATCTGACTCAGACACTGATTGGTTGAGTTTTCGACAGCTGAGGAATTAATGCACAACTTCTATCAAAGCCAAAA